CACTCTGAATGTACTAGTTTCTTCTGGTGCTGATGCATATTGGAAACTACAATATTACTTTTAGACGTGGCTTCTACTCTAATGTGACTTTTGTTGTTTAACGACGTCGTTTTGGCCCTGCAGATTTTTGTGTGGGAAAAACAGAGAAGCAAATTGTTGCAGATTCCAGATGGGAAGGAGTTGAGATCATTGTCATATACTCACATCCAAATTCACCAGAATGAGCTGCACCTCCTTGCCATAAACAAGACTCACCTTGCAGTATATGAAGTGAAAGAACTAGCATGTGTTTAGGGGGAGGGGAGGCTACCCCATCCCAAGGTCAGGGCATACCAAGGCCTCTTTGAGGAACCATTTGGCTTTTTAATTCTTCACTTTGGGATTAAAAACAAAAGGCACCCAAAAAGGGATTAGGCCACTCAATGATTCACCCTGATTTTAGCCCGCATATTTTACAATTGATTTCAAGAAAGATAAGGTTCTTTTTGAAAATTCTGCAAGCTAAGTATTCTTCAAGTGGTCACACTAGAGGTTTTCCCTTAGGAATGACCGTCCGGTAGTTGCGACATCACAAATGTAAAACAGAGATTAGAGGCCCGCCACCTTTTTGGCTTTGACCTGCAATCGTCTCCTGATTCGCTTTTATATGTGTTGTTGCATAAGGAACTTGTTGTGTCAAACTTTTCACATGGACACTCTACCATCCTCGCCAAAACAAAACTGAGCATGGCATATCATTGTGCTGTGGTGTTTTTGTATGCCTTGCAAATTCTCCTTTGCGTAGAGAAAACGAACCATCAACGTAACCAACAGAGGGGATAAAAGATCAAGAGTCTCCTGAAAATTCCAAGAAACGGATCTCCTTGTAGAAAGGTCCTATTGCTGAAGCTGCAAAATGCGTACATCATGTGATTAAATTGCATATCAGAAGTAAATGAAATCAGCAAAAGACAATGTCCATGGATGCATCTAACAAAACATTAGCTTATTTGTTTCGGTTGTCAAATGGCTGCAGCATTCCTAAGTTATTACATACATTTGGCTCTTTACAGATCAAGTCAGTATTATAACTCCATTACTGAGTTCGGTTCATCATCATATCACATTAGTCCCATCAGTTTTAACTCAAAAGTTTATTCTCAAGTCTCCATTAAGGTTGCACCAAATTTCAGTTTGTATATTTGTTTATCCAAAAGGATCCCAAAATCTGCTTCAAATATTTGTTCTATAGACAAGTTCATATAATTCCAAATGTATATACTTGTATAAAATACCTATGTAATTTGAATATGAACTGCATGCCATACGACTAATTGCATTGAAAAGCCAATCAAAGGATTTAGCAGAAGTAACCAGATTCAAAATTAAATCTTGCTAAACCTCAAACAATATTTCTTTGCTCTATAGGATTAACTTTCGTAACCGGCATTAGTAAAGCAGGGCAATTTCTACTCTTATCGAACTCATGAGATCAGAAGTCCCATAAACTGACTACCAACACCTCAACTACAGAGGGACCTATATTCAATTAAGAAAAACCTATATTGCCAAAAGACAACATTATGAATAAAGATGCTTAATATTTTATTAACACAGCAAAGAATCATAATTTCTTATAAACTCTAACTCTGAGCCTGCCTTCTATACGAATAACTAACACTGCATTCTATAATGCATTAAGTCACCAAACATACATGCCAGCTGAAAAACAGGAGGAAAAGTTAGATTTCTCCACTCTTTCCTTTTGAATATTTTGTTTAACAAACCAAATTAAACAAATGGGAAGCAAACAAATTTTATGATGGATGGATTAATTTCCTAGCTTTTTCCCTCTTACTCTTAACTTTCCAAGCTCTACAAGCAGAGTTAAAATGGCCTCACACATATCATCATCGCTAGGATTCTTTTTCCTTGTGGAATAAACCATCCAGGCATGGTCAAGCTTCCTATCCGATGCGACCACAACCGAACCTGGAACTTGAGCATCACGGCACGTCACCAATCCGTCACTCTTCTCCCCGTACCTGAGTTGTAGATGAAGTGCAGTCACAACCATTGCAGCAGATAAAGGAATCACTACAGGCAGCTGGCGTCCTGCTTGAACGATTTTATCTGACTCTTCTTGAGTTCCAAAATTTGGTAGGGGCAGGCAGGGAAGTTCGGCATGTGCTATATGTGTCATTGTGGCAAACATATCAGGGGCTATGCTTGCCTCAGAGTGGAAGGAAACCAGAGGATATGGCAGCTTGTGCTTCATGAACTCCTTTCGCTTCTCATAAGTAAGACCTCCAGTGCCCGAATGTCACCCTACAATGCAAATATGAATTGAGATGTTTCCAAACACAACTTATAATTCTCCACTTGTTTAGTACATACACAAAGGACTTTCAACAAGCTCAGGCATTGGTGCTATTACCTTAATTAGCTTGCATATCAAAAGTTCCATGATCCTGCGGGTTTCTTTGTCTGCAATCTGGCCTTCGCGAAGAATATCAGAAGCCAAGGGAGTGCCACCATAGGGGCTCTGTACCAGTGCTAAGCCAGCAACTTTGTCTTTCAAATCACACCAGTAGATTGACAATGCAGCTGCAGCATCAACGCCGCTCTTGCTGTGCCCCAGCAGCATCACGCCAGATCCCCATTAAAGCTCCTCGATGTATTGCGTGAGTTCCGATGCATTGTGCTCAACAGATGCCTTCATCCAAGAAAACATATGAAAAGGGAAGACAAATTTCACAAAACTCAGTCAGCAATGATCACAGAGTAATGACTCATTACCTCACTGTGAATTTTTGCAATATGGCAAGCTAGACCCATCTTCGAAAAGAATTTCTTTGTTCCAACAAAGTATAAGGGGCCGTGATTGCTAAAGAGGCCTGGAAAATCAAAGTTCCCATAACTATAGGTGCCACAACGCTAAATGTGGATT